GGCCCCATTTTGTTTCAGGCGGCGAAGCTGAACAGGCCGCCCCTGTGCCTGACAAAGCCAACTCTGACTTGAAGGCCTTCGGTTCCCTTCCCGACAAGACATTAAACTAATGTGAACATTAAACTAATGTGAACTAGTACCTTGTATGGCAAGAGACACGGGTGGAGCTGTGGGTTAAACCACAGAGCCTAGGACTTGCTGATCAGAAGGTTGGCGGTTTGAATCCCCGCGACGGGGAGAGCTCCTGTTCCTCGGTCCCTGCTCCTGCCAACCTAACAGTTCGAAAGCACGTCAAAGTGCAAGTAGATAAATAGGTACCACTCCGGCGGGAAGGTAAACGGCATTTCCGTGCGCTGCTCTGGTTCTCCAGAAGCGGCTTAGTCATGCTGGCCACATGACCCAGAAGCTGTACGCCGGCTCCTTCGGCCAATAAAGCGAGATGAGTGCCGCAACCCCAGAGTCAGCCACGACTGGACCTAATGGTCAGGGGTCCCTTTACCTTTAACTTGTATGGCATTGCTGTTTCCAAGGATGTGAGCTCTGCGGTTGCCTGAGAAGCTGCAGCCTCAGAGCAGGCGTGTTTACGTGTGTGAGTCTGAGCCTTCGCCTTGGGGAGAGGGAAAGTTTAACAAATATCTATTGCAACATGCCAGCTTCCCACAGTAGCAGCAAGGAAAGATCTCTTTTCAAACGCGGCTTTGTATAAACGGCTGCATTGTGTTTCATTCCCTAAGTAGCAAGAGAACATAGCAGGTCAGCATGATCTGACCAGGTTTTTGTTAGCTGAAACGGCTGTTAGCTGCGTTCCCTCTGCCCCACACCACCTTGCAAGTTTGCATCAGTCTTTTTCTGCTTTTTGAATATTAGATTGAAGTAGTGATACAGGAAGAGAGAAAAGGAAGTGTTTTAGCCAAAATATCTTATTCTCTCTTGGGGCTGTGGGGTGATGGTGAGGGAGAGGGCTGCTTCCCTTTCAAAAATTTATGCAAGCCAAAATGGTTTCTCTCTCCCAAATCCACAAGGAACGACAGAGTTTTGCTTTGAGTCAGTTTGTTTGTTAGTTTGTTTATTAAATTTCTGTCCTGCTCTCCCTCCCGAATTAGCGCAGGCCATGAAACAATGAGGCGGCAAAACAATATAATAAATAATAAATTAAACATGTGAAAAGGATCTAGGTGTCTTATGAGACCACAACCTTAATAAAGCTAATGCTATTCTAGGCTGCATTCTAGTGTCCTGACCAAGGGAAGTAATAGTCCCACTCTATTTTGCCTTGGTCAGACCACACCTGGAGTGCTGTGTCTAGTTCTGGGCACCACAATTTAAGAAGGTTATTGACAAGCTGGAACATGTGCAGAAGAGGGTGATCAAGATGATCAAGGGTCTGGAAACTCAGTCTTATGAAGAATGGTTGAGAGAGCTGGGTATGTTTAAACTGGTAAAGAGGAGACTGAGAGAAGATATGATAGCCTGAAGGGCTGTCACATGAAAGATGGAGGGTGAGAGCTGTTCGACAGTGGAACAGACTTCCATGAGAGGTTGTAGGCTCTCCTTCCTTGGAGGGTTTTAAGCAGAGGTTGGGTGACCATCTATCTTGTATGATTTAGTTGAGATTCCTACGTTGCTGAAGGTTGGACTAGATGACCCTTAGGGTCCCTTCCAACTCCACAGTTCTATGATTCTATGATTTAAAAGCAATAAGAAACACTCACATACTATAACAATTTCAAGGTAGCCTGGAGCAATATCAACCATCAAAATGCCTGGGTGAACAGCAATGTTTAAAAATTTGACCTGAAAGTCAATAATATGGGGGGCTGATGCACCCCACCAGGGCGGATGTTCCTCAAATGGGGAACCACCACCATCACCAGGTTCTCCCCTGCTGATTGTAGGGCCCAAGATGGAAAATACCCGGGAAGGCATTCTTGAATTGGAGCTGGTAGCTCACTCTTAGGCTCTCAGATTCCAACCCCAGATAATTTTCATTTAGGAGTTATTAATTTTGGTGGAGATTACACGATTCCTTCCAAGGCATACCGAGATGATAAACTTTTACTAGAGAGCTCCTATCTCAAAAGAAAATGAATGTACAGATCAATTTATCATCAGGTACGACACCAAAAGTAAACCAGATTAATCCCTTGGCTGCCCTCCTTTTCAACACACACTTTGCCTAATTGACCTTACCCTGCCTGCTTGCCCTCCACCTCACCCTGCTTGCCTGTTACCTGAGCCCCATCTGCACTATACAGTGGTACCTCAGGTTACATACGCTTCAGGTTACATATGCTTCAGGTTACAGACTCCACTAACCCAGAAATAGTGCTTCAAGTTAAGAACTTTGCTTCAGGATGAGAACAGAAACCAGTTTCCGGCGGCGCGGCAGCAGCAGGAGGCCCCATTAGCTAAAGTGGTGCTTCAGGTTAAGAACAGTTTCAGGTTAAGTACGGACCTCCGGAACGAATTAAGTACTTAACCTGAGGTACCACTGTACATTTCAAGCAGTAGTACGCCATTTTAAATAGTCCTGGCTTCCCCCAAAGCATTCTGAGAATTGTAGCTAAGGGTCCTGAGAGTTACAGTTCCTGGAGTTCCCCAGGAAGAGGGCTTGACTATTAACTTACTCTGGGAATTGTAGCTCTGTGTGGGGAGCAGGGAGTCTCCTCTAACAGCTCTCAGCACTCTTGACATACTACAGTTCCCCAGATTCTTTAGGGGAAGCCAGGACTGTTTTACATGGTGTGATACGGCCTTCAGTGTATAGGGAAGATGGGGCCCTGCTGTGTTTGCGCAAGGAACCTGCCTGTCTAAGGTGCCCCATGTGCCAGGCAAAGCACCGCAATGAAAGAGGCAGGAAATAAGTGCCATCACTTCACAAGAACTAAAACAAAACTTCAAACGCACAAAAAGAGTAGAAGCAAAGGAGCTGCAACATCAGAGACTGAAATATTAAAAACTGAAATGCTTGGTTACAAAAATGATTTTTTTTTTTTAATGGCATCTCCAGGTAAACAATCAATTATCTGACTTGGTTGAGGGCCTATTTCATACCCTACAAGTGTCCTGATTTTCCAGGTACAGTCATACCTCGGGTTACAGACGCTTCAGATTGCGTTTTTTCAGGTTACAGGCTGCCGAAACCCGGAAGTACTGGAACAGGTTATTTCCAGGTTTCGGCGGTTGCGCATGCGTAGAAGCGCTAAATCGCACTTTGCACATGCGCAGAAGTGCCAAATCGCAACCCGCGTGTCCACTGTATAGTCTCAGCATTACAAAGCCATCCCGGCTTCTGATTTGATCCTGGAACATCCCTGTTCCCCCTGCCAGTCCTTCTACCGCCGAGCTCAGGGAAGAGGATGAGCTGGCGCTTGTCCTGAGTATCAGCAGCTGCAATTTGTTGCCTCTCCATGGCCACTGCTGCCGGCCTCCTCCCTTGGGCAGCTTATAGAGGCTGCTGGAGAAGGAGGAGAGGCTGCCGACACTGAGACCCAGCCCTATATGATATGCCTTTTCTGAGGGGCAGGCAGAGGGCCGCCCTGGGCGGGAAGAAATGGAGAGCAGAGCAGAGTGCAAAGGGATTAAGGAGGGGAGGGTGTGTGTGCTGTGTCCCACTGGTGAAGTGGTGGCGGCGCTTGCCCTTCTTCTAATAGGAAATTTTCTGTGGGGGCAGAGGGGGGGAAGGGGGAGTCAAGGAAGGTCAGTTGAGAGTGAGAAATGTTGGAGGGTATGTTATTTTCCTTTGGGTGGAATTCAGTGCCAGGCCTGCTCAGAGTAGACCTATTGAAATGAATGAACATGCCTAAGTTAGGCCTATTAATTTCAGTCAGTCTAATCTGCACAAAAGTTGGTTGAATTGCAACCCTTTCCCCAAAGCTTGCTTTTTAAATGCTCAAAGTTTTGGATGTCTTAAGAGTATGCAGCCCAATCCTTTGCTGGGAAGGCACTTATTCGCAAAGTTGCAGAGCCATGAATCAGTTTCCCACCCACCACAGTTCTATGACACATAATCTTGCCATCACATTTAATAAATACATGCACATGAGCATACAGATACACATACACATGTGAGACTATGGTGTGGGTTTCCTTCTGGGAGAAAAGGGCCAGGTGGAGGAAAGATAGGATTTTTTAAGCCAGGGGTTGGCAACATCTGGCCCTTGTTGTGAGCCACATTTTCAGTCATACAGTGCAACACACCTTCACCCCAGGAAATTAAGCACAGAGGTCATGCTGACATATAAGCAAGAGCCCTTGGCTCCATCAGCAATAAAGAGGGTACAGCTTTCATCTGGATTGCACCCATGAAATTAAGCAAGTTTTGTGTAGGAGCATTTTGTAAAGCCTCTGATTCCAGTACGGTCCCTTCCGTACAGTACAGTACAGAACTTTCTGTTCTGGAGTTACTGGAAAGCTATTTCGTTTGAATGTGAGGAAGATTAAGAGATTGAATTATCTGCCTTGCAAATCCTCAGTTCTGTCTTTACTGTCATCTGTTGACGTGCAAACCTCCCCAAGGGCTTCTGTGTGAACAGAGGTGCCAATTTGAATAATAAATTGTGGGGGCCCAGGAAAGCCCTGCCCCTCATAATTGATCACATGATACAGTGCATCCACGCCATTTGAATGGGAATACCCGTTAACTTTGTGGAGGCTCAACCCCCTTAAATATTTTATTGTGAAGGCTGAAGCCCTCACGGCCCATAGGAGCTGGCTCCTATGTGTGTGAGGAAGTGGCTGCACAGCTTGCCACGGTTTATTTGGATGTAGAATCAAAGGGTGGTATTCAGCTGAGCTTTATTCAGAGTAGACCCATTGAAAACAATGAACATGACTAAGTTAGGTCCATTCCTTTCAGTGAGTGTGCTCTGAATAAAACCTATTTGAATACCACCCATAGGGTTGGAATGGCTGTTTGAGATCACAGAAACATAAAATTGTAGAGTTGGAAGACACCATGAGGATCATCTAGTCCAACCCCCTTTAATGTAGGAAACTTTAACCTAATGCAGGACTTGAACCCACAACCCTGAGATTAAGAGTCTCATGCTCTACCAACTGAGCTAAACCTCATCTAGTCCAACCCCTTGGAGGTAATCTGAATCTGTAAGCAGGGTTTTCCAAACTTGGGTCTGCAGCTGGTTTTGGACTATAGTTCCCATAATCCCTGACCACTGGTCCCACCAGCTAGGGATGATGGGAGTTGTAGTCCAACAACAGCTGGAGACCCAAGTATGGGAAACCCTTCTCTAGAGCATCCCCAACAGGTAGCCGCCCAGCTTCTGCTAGAATAACTCCCCTCTAAGGAATTTGTTCCAGTTGTCAAACTATTGTCAATACTTGCTTACATATTTACTTATTTACTTATTTACTTACTTACTTACTTTCTCCCAAAACCGAGACCCAAGTCAGCTCACAAAAATTAAAGCACAAATAAAATACAGAAAACATATATATATATATATATATATATATATATATATATATATATATAATAGTTACAAAGTAATTAAACGATTATAGTATAAAAATATATTAAAAATGATTAAATTATTAAAATATAGATAGTAAAAAGAGCACAGCACTATTAAAAGCCCTTTTCTTAAAAGCTGTTAGTTCCCTGAAGCCTGCAGGAGTAAAACAGTCTTCACCTACCATCAGAAGGAGAACAAGGAGGGGACCAATCTGGTTTCTGCAGGGAGGGAGTTCAAGAGTCTATGGGCAGCCACCGAGAAGTGTGCCTGCGCAGGAGGCGGGACTGAGAGAAGGGTTGCCCCCAATGACTTCAGAGCCTGGGCAAGTTCGTATGGGAGAATACATTCTTTCAGATAGCCTGGACCTAAGTCGTATAGGTCTTTGTAGGTCGTAATCAGCACTTTGAATTGTGCCTGGAAACAGACTGATAGCCAATGGAGCTATTCTAATAATGGAATCATATGCTACCTGTAACCAGCCCTGGTCTACAATTTGGCTGCAGCTCTTTGAGCCAGTTGAAATTTCTGAGCACTTTTCAAAGGCAGCCCCATACAGAGTATGTTACAGCAATCTGAAGAAGAGGTGACTCAGGCATGTGTCACTATGGCCAGACCAGTCATTGGTTAGCTGTAGAACTTAGGACCACTCCATCTGAGAGTTGTGTTTGTTTTGGAGCAAATCACTAGCTTTCAGGCTGCTCTGTTTCCACCTGAACTTTGCCCAAAGGATTATATCCAGAAAAGTCCTTCTCTGAGAAGGACCTAAGTTTGTCACATCCATCAACGGGTCTTCTCCAAGTAGGATTCGCAGAGGGTACTACCTTAATACTTTCAGGGATGAGGAACAGCGCAGCAATGACCAAACATTCTCAGTGGCTGTGGAATGTTGGCTGGCTAACAGGGAATGGGATGGAATATCATGGGAAAGGGCATGGCCAGCTAGAACCCTGAGAAGCACCATTCCACACTGTGACATTTTGTGGCCTTTCTGATTGGCAAAACCCAATGGCACTGTGGTCTAAACCACTGAGCCTAGGGCTTGCCTATCAGAAGGTCGGCGGTTCAAATCCCTGCAACCGGGTGAGCTCCCGTTGCTCCGTCCCTGCTCCTGCCAACCTAGCAGTTCGAAAGCATGTCAAAGTGCAAGTAGATAAATAGGTACCGCTCCAGCGGGAAGGTAAATGGCGTTTCCGTGCGCTGCTCTGGTTTCGCCAGAAGCGGCTTAGTCATGCTGGCCACATAACCCGGAAAAACTGTCTGCGGACAAACGTCGGCTCTCTCGGCCAGTAAAGCGAGATAAGCGCCGCAACCCCAGAGTTGTTCGCAACTGGACTTAACTGTCAGGGGTCCTTTACCTTTAATGGTGACCAATGACGATGGAAGACTAGAGACCTACAGAGATTCCCTTGCGTCTTCCCAGGCAGTTCTGGCAGTTAGCAAGACTTACCCAGAGCCAGTCACCTGGAGTGCGCAAAGTGTGTTTCAGGTCCCCCCTCCCTTCTCCCTTCTTCCCGGGCATCCCCGCTACTTCATTATCTTAGTCACTGTTGTGGTAAAGTTTCATGCTTCCTTTGACCTTTCTTTTCGGCCTGGTTATGCTGTTTAACTACAACTGACACTCGTCCCCTGGCGCTATTACCTAGGAAACCCACCAGTTAGGCTTTTGCTTCCCCCCCCTCTCTCCCTGCCTGCCCCCCCATTCCATCCTTGCTTCCCGTGGTCCTTTCTGTTTTATGCATCTCCCCCGCCTTTCCTCGCCATCCTCCTCTCTCTCTCTCTCTTTTTTTTAGTCCTTTAACATGGTTTTCCTAAAAAGTTTTTTAATCAATCAAATTTCAGGCAGAAAATAGGCTCCGTCACGCCTGGTCTTTGGGTCGTGTGACACTCTCCTGGGGTCCTGACAGCTCCTTAAAAGAGGGTCTCAGGACGCGGAGGCCAAACAGAATGTTTGCCCAGGGAAGGGGCGGTTTCCATGACGCTCTCACCCCCTCCCCACTCTGCCGCACTGTCCGTTGGGCTGCCACAGACCTGAGACTTTTTAAGGGGGGGAGAGGAGGAACGCAAGGAGGGGGTGAGTATGCGTGTGTTCAAGAAGGATAGCGAAACAAACCCACCCACCCCCCAAAACAAAACAAAAGAGAAATATGTGAAATGGAGGTTGGAAGCAGAGGAAGTATGGGATGCATTGACAGCTGCCCCCAGCTCTCAGGGGGTGCCAGGCCCATTGGGGAGCCGATGGGATAGACAGTAATTTAGTCAGTTTTCCAAGTGTGCATAATCAAGGGTCTTTCTTTAAAAAAAAGTCAATTTTTCATCTCCTCTCAAGGCATTTTCTCCAGGAGAGCTGGCTACCCTGTCACGGAGGGAGAGCGTTCCTGAGCTCTGGTATGCACCTCTGTTCTTTGACCGCCTTTCTCATCTCTCCATCTCGCTCTGTTCAATCTGTCTGAGCTGCCTTTGGGTTAAGTGGGCCTGTCTTGCTTCTTGTTTTGGACCTAAACCGATACCAACAGAACGCTTGGCGGAGTTTTGTGGGGAGAGGGAGACCCTTCAGTTTGGGGTCTAAACTGGATTTATATGGGAGGGTGTTTCTTTGGCTTGAAAAGCACCACCCACCTGGATACGGGGCGATGGGGCTTTTCTGTCTTGGGTGGAGTGAACTGGACAGAGCCCCCACATCTCATCCTGGCCTCCCTTCTGCTGTCAGACTTTTGCCTTTCTCTCACCTTTCCATACGTCTTTCATATCCTCTTTCTCTCTCACGCTCCCCCCCTTTATAATTAATGATTACGCTTAATTGGTTTGCTAAAACAGCCCAAGAGCATATTAGCAGGAGCAAGGTTGCCAAATTGTTTGGGGAGTGGTTACGGTGCATGTTTGACCAGGGCAAAGGGACATTTGACGGTCCTATTTATTTCTGTCTCTCCCTGGCCTCCGTACTGTTTGTAACTGTGTTTGAGTGTTGTGTGGCTGGGTGATGTTCCAGTTGGAGGCAAGTTGCAGCAGTGTCACCTGTGCTTCAATCTTGCGCTCTCTGGCTCAGTGTGGACACCCTGCAAAGTGGCCAGCCTGCCTCTTAGCAAAAAGAACCATCTTCTTTGACCATTTTCGTGTTTCTTTGCCGCAATGGGCAGTGTCTGTGTGTGTGAGTGTGTGTGTGTGTGTGCGCGCGCGCGCAGACATACATTATGTCTGTTTTTCCTATTACTGTCTCGGTACATCTGGTCTTGAGTGAAAGGTGAGAGAAAAAGAGATGCACGCTCCATCTGCTGTCCGATTAAACTATAAAAGTTGGTTGTTGCTGTTGTTGTTTTTATTTTATTAGTCATACAACAATAAACAACAAGTATCCCATTCTTCCCACCCACCTCCTTGTCCCAGATGGAACCTTGATGTTCAGAAATTGTAATGATGTATTTATGTTAAAGTGGGGGAGGGGGGTTAGGAAAAGTTTTGCTCCCAATACATTTGTTTTCCTGCTGCCTAGATATCAAGTCTTTGACCTTGTCACACTTACCTGTGTGTGTTTTTATGTGTATTAAGGATGGATGAATTTGTCCATTTTGGTATCTGCCAATTTCTCTCCCCCCCCCCGACTTAAATTAAGTTCACCTTTCCGCAGCAACGTGCAATTAAAAATAATAATACCCCTAATAAATGCAGTTTTGCATGCAGTTTTGATGGCTGTATGCACTTTTGCAAGCACTTTTTTCCCTAGTAGAAAGCATTTTTGCATGTTCTTTCCAGTAATGTATGCTTGTTTATGCATGATTTCCCCTAAAGTATATGTTTTTGCCCATACTGTTCGACTGGAGAGCTGCATTACAAGATTCAGAGAAGTGCAAATTTTAAAGTTAAAGCTGAGTTTCGGTTCGAGTGTCAGTCCAAGTAAGAAGTGCAAATTAGGTAGTTTCTCATGGAAAGGCGACCCAAATCATATATCTCCCCTGTCCCTTGAGCATCTGCACACACACATATGATATATTCCTGAGAGGCCCACAGGCCTCTGGCTCTCTCAAATGCTATAATTCCGCATACATGTCTTCCTTTATGTGGCTTCTGTGAAACTAAATCCTACTCGGAGAAAGGGAGGCAGTGAGTTTTGTTGAGACCAACTTGGGATGCGGAAGAGTTTGCTCTGCTACCTTGGCTCCACCTGCTCCAGGGAAAGGTGGGGAGCAGTTTTTTATGGAGCCTGTCATCCTTCCAACCATTGGGTCTAGACAAGGCACTGTTTCTGAGAACAGCTAGGAGAAAGGTGTTAGGGGCCTGCTCCCCCAGAGTGAACCAAGGCCCTGTGCTCTGTAGATGCTGGACATATTCTTCCTTCAGCTATGTGTGCTAAGGGCTTTGGATTGGGCCCTGCTTCTGAGAAACCCCCAGAAATAAAAGATGTGTGGACTCCTTTCTTCTGCAGCTTTGAACATGTTGTTTGCTGGATATATCTTTCCCACCCCCACCCTCCACCCAAGGAAATGTGGGTTGCCATAATGCCTTGCGCATCTGATAAAGTAGGGCTTTGACCCACAAAAACAACTTTTTGTTTCACATGAAGTGAGGGGGAAATGCACTCTGCTTAATGACAGTGAAGTGCTTTGACTAAGATTGCCAAAGTCTTCTCTCCCCGGCCCCCTCCCGTGTCCAGGCAAAAATTCAGCAGGGGGGGGGAAATAGTTTGACCGCTGCTGCAAATCCGTTCCTGGAAAACTGCAGAAATAGGTTCAAGTATTCAAAACCGTTCTGCCCACCACTTTGTCTCTGGCACACTTTGTTTTAACGAAGATCCCTTAAGCT